ACTTGAGCTCTGTCGCTCTTCATCGCCACTGCCTGCTCTCTCTCGGTCGTTCTGCCTCTGTTCCGCCCTACTGGAAAATCATCCCGAGGCCGAGGCTGTCTCGTCCTGCTCCTCCTCGCATTGTTTTGAAGCCAATGAGGCCGCCCCACTCAACCTCTGTCCGCCCCAGCTCCAGCTCATCCCCCACCACGGATTCAGACTCCGACGGGGGACATGACATTCTGGGACCGAAGGACCCATTTTGAAATAATACAAGGAGTCCTCAACTTATGACCACAGTGGAGCCAAAAGTTCCATTGCTAAGCGAGACGGTGGTTAAGTGAATTTTTGCCACATTTTACGACCTTTCTTGCCACACTTGTTAAATGAATCACTGCGGTTGTTAAGTTAGTAACAGGGTTGTTAAGTGAAGCTGGATTTCTCATGGACTCTTGCTTGTCAGACGGTCGCAAAAAGGGATTGCATGACCCTCGGACATTGCAACCGTCATTAAATCCACGCCAGTGTATTTGCCCAGCATCCAAATTTTGATCATGGGACTGCTTCAACAGTCACTAGTGGGGGGAAATGGTTGTAAGTCATTTTTTTCAGTGCCGTTGTAATTTTGAACAGTCACTGAGCGAATGGTTGTAAATCAAGGACTACCTGTATCAGCAAGAACTTGGGGAAACTGTATAGGTAGAACTGTTGGCCATAGCTATGGAATTCTAGCAGAGGGTACAGCAATAGAAACCATAGTTTGATTTCTGCAGTTTACTTACTACCAGTAGTCCTCATTTAGCAACTGCCTCATTTAGCAACCATTCAGAGTTGCAAGGGCTATGAAGCAGTAATCTTCGCGTTTATAACTTTTGCAGAACCTGTAAAAACAAAGGAAAGCCGAAATCAGATTGTAAGGACAGTTACGGTTTCACATAGCAACTGTTTCGTTTAACGACTTTAATGAAGCGCCATTCCCAATTGCAGTCACAAAATGAGGACTACCTATAAATCAAAATCAAAGGAAATGTTTGGGCGTGAACCAGCTTCTTGGAAGGTTCCTTCTGTGTTTCTTATCATTCCTGCCATTGTTTTTCATTTTTTTAAATAGTATTTTATTTTATTGGGTGCCATACATTCTAATACAAATAAAACTAGTAGAATTAATCATAGTTATTACATTCAACCCACTTATATATTTCTAATAGTAATGCACATTTATATTAAGTAATCATCTATCATTATTTAATTCCATGTTTTCTCTATTTTATTGCTTTTATTTTATTATGTAAAAGTGTATACACTCATATTCCCCCTTTCTCTTATTTCTATCTCTTCTTCTAACTTTTAATCATGTCACCCTTTTATTAAAAGATGTTTTTTTCTATCCTACCTAACTTTTAATCATGTCACCTACCTAAAAAAGAAAGGAAAGGAGAGGGAAAAAGAAAAGCAAATCAGAACAAGAAGAAGAAAGAAAAACCATCCCTCTATCGTCTCTTGCCTGCTTTAGTACTTTAATTGCTGTGCTTTTTTTGACTTGCCTCCCATATTCCCATTGTTTTTCAAGATGAAGCCAGCCGTTCACCCTTTGGATTCTTGCAAGATTGTACAGGCAGCCATATGTTCTAGAAACTTGTACTCACTGTTCTTTTTTAAGCAGAGGTTCTCAGCATACCAAATTGTGCGTCTGCAGTGCCAGATTACGGGAAGGTATAGCAATCCAGCGTGGGTAGACAATACTGAATGCCCTGATTTTCTCTGGCGTGTATCAAAAAAGACCATTTTTCTGTCTTGGCTTGTTACGGAGAGGATAATCCCCATCTTGATAAATCACAAGTAAATTCTAGATCAGGTGAAATGGCTAAAAAAGCACCTGAAGATTTAATGAGCTGGCAGTTTTTGTGAGCTAAATTCCAATCTTTTCCCAACTTAGAAGGGTAATATTTTTATAAGCACTTGTTTAAGAGTTTTTAAAAAAATGTTTACAAGTTTCTAGTCCTTAACACTACTACCCTGTTATGCAGCATCTCCAAACACATTGCATTTCTGCTTTCCAGGATTCATTGGCTATGCCCCCGTGATCAACCGCATTGTCCAGCTGTGGAAGTACAAGGATGATGACGATGACCAGTTGTTTTACACACGCATTTACCTGGATCCTGCCTTGCGTGTGAGTGCTGGGAGAAACTCCCTTTGTGGGTTTTGTAGTCACTTCTATACAGTTACAGCCTGCCTATGTTAAAAAAAATATTGGGGCTTCATTTCCCAGTCACTAAAATGGCTTATGCAACTCCGACATCACTTCCCCAACAGTGCTGTTCCCACAGAGGGCTTTACTGCATCCATGTAGGGGGTGGAGCTGGCTTAAAATTGTCCCAGTCTTGCGTAAAGTTCAGACAAATCCGATCAGTTTCTCTCTTTTTCTAACTGCTAACTGCTAAGTCTAACTGCTATTTTTCATCTCTCACCTCCAGCACATTGAATAGAAGAGAAAGAATGGCTGGGGGGGAAAAGGGGCTACTCTAGGATGGAACTCGTTGCCAAAGCAATGTAGATCACCCTGCCCAGATTTTGGTCAATTGAAGGGACTGAGCCATGTTTACTGTTGGCTTCCTGGCCAATTAGGGGAAAGAGGCTAGTGACGTCATGAAGCCTTGCCAGTAATCTGGCATATGAGGAGTGATGGGATGTCCAGTTCCTGCTAGAGAGGTCGGGAAGGGAACTCAGTTGCTTAGCAACCACTCAAAATTATGATGGCAGGAAATGGGTATCCCATGAATCCTCATATGCCAGATTGCTGGCAAGGCTTCGTGACTTCACTAGCTTCTTCCCCATTGGCCAGGAAGGCAACAGTAAACATGACTCAGCCTTTGCAGT